GTGAAGATTGACAGCCTTGGAGACCCTGTGGGGCAGTTCCACTCTGTCCTCTAGGGGCGCTGTGAGTCAGAATCCACTCCAGGCAGTGGGTGTGGTTTGGGCTTTGTTTCCCTCATGATGAAAAGACTTGGAAACTCTATGGTGTAGTTCCACTCCGTCCTCTAGGGGCGCTGTGAGTCAGAATCAACTCCAGGGCAATGGGTTTGGTTTGGTTAATGTGACGGGCTGCTAACCCAAAGGTTGGTGTTTCAAGTCCACACAGAGGTGCCCTGGAAGAAAGGCCTGGTGATCTACTTCTGAAAAGTCAGCCACTGAAAACCTTACAGAGTGCACTTCCACCCCAGAGACACATGCAGGCACTGTGAGAAGGAATGGAGTCAGAAACCTGAAGATCTTCTCCCCATGCGCTCCTCGCCTTCTTCCTTCCTGGGTATGACAGATGTGCTCAGATCGGAGCTGGCAGTTTGCAGCCCTGGCCAGGGTCAGCGGGGGAGGAAGGAGGTGACAGACCTGGGGAGGCTGAAGCCCCTCTCCTCCTGCTCAAATCGCTGCAAGTCTGGAGGGCGTTTTCCACTTGATATTCGAGTCAAGTCTCCGTGCGTGCGTTTAAGATCCCCAGAGTGCAGGCTCCTGGAACAAATTCATTTCAAGGGCCTCTATTTCCCACTTGCTTGAGAAAGCCGTGCACGAGGCCCTAATTACCACCTCAGCTCCATCCTGCGCAGGCCCTAATTACCACCTCAGCTCCATCCTGCGCAGGCGTGAGGATCGATTTCAGGCAGGTCAATAAATGCAGCCCGGAGCGCGGGTGCCGGCGTTTTGCTAAGCAGTTCTGCAAGTGTGCAACCGAGAATCCATTTTCTCTTCTCCACGCAGAAAGAAAGGGGTGCGTGGGCGAATGTTTCGTTATGTAAATTAATCAATGACCTATTAATTATGCAGTTGTTTATAAACCATTTTTGTAAAAATGTCCACATTCTGGCGTTTGACGGCACACAGAATGACACACTAACGTGTAGCTGATCCTGCCCTGCTATTGATGAA